AGGCTGACTTACTATCTATAATAATATCATATCCCTGTCAGCCATTACAATATCTAATATACTTCTCTATGGGTTTGACTTACCTCCTATACCAAAAACATATCCCCGTCAGCCATTACTGTATCTAAGATACTCTTTCTAAAGAGACTGATTTACCTCCTATACCAATAGCATATCCCTGTCAGCCATTACCGCTTCCGACATACTCTTTCTTGGAAGGCTGACTTACCCTCTATACCAGTATTATATCCCCGTCAGCTATTACCGCATCTAAGATACTTTTTCTCGGAATACTAACTTACCTCCTATACCAATATTATATTCCTGTCAGCCATTACCGTGCCCAAGGTACTCTTTCCCAGAAGACTGACTTACCATCTATACCAATATCATATCCCTATCAGCCATTACCGTGTCTGACAGACTCTTTCTTAGAAGACTGACTTACATCCTATATTAATATCATATCCCTGTCAGCCATTACCGCGTCCGATATACTCTTTCTTAAAAGACTGACTTACATTCTATACCAATATTATATCTCTGTCAGCCATTACCGTGTCCAAGGTACTCTTTCCCAGAATACTGGCTTACTGTCTATACCAATATCATATCCCTGTCAGCCATTACCGTATCCAAGATACTCTTTCTTGGAAGACTAACTTACCTCCTATATCAATAGCATATCCCCGTCAGCCATTACCGCGTCCGACGTACTCTTTTTTGGAAGACTGACTTACCCTCTTTATACCAGTATCATATCCCTGTCAGCTATTACTGCATCCAAGATACTCTTTCTAGGAATGCTGACTTACCCTCTATACCAATATTAAATCCCTGTCAGCCATTACCGCATCTAAGGTACTCTTTCCCGGAAGACTGACTTACCCTCTATATCAATATTATATCCCTGTCAGCCATTACCGCATCTAATATACACTTCCATGGGTTTGACTTACTTCCTGAAGCAAACGCAAGGCTTCGTTATTCATCAGCCTATCCAACTGCTCGACGAACTACTTACTTTCTTAACCTTCATTAGATATCGTGCGCTTTTATCGTCTGTTCAGACTTGATACTTACCACAAACGCTCCATGTATCCAACCTGCGTAAGCCGATGCAGAAGTCATTCTGAGCCAGAATTTTAATAAGAAAGCTAATAGCAGCAAGCAGTTCTCGTACTCTTAACTGGGTTGTTGGGGATGGGAGAAGAATTTTCTTTCAGTGCAAGTTGATGGTCGTTCTGATGCAAGGCCAGCTGGCTAGGCCAAAATGACTAATGCGGGGTCACAGCGGCAAGAAGGAACTTATCATTGGTTAAACAAGGGCTCACTTGAGATATGTCACATCTACCCCAAAATCTTTTTTTCTGCATGTCCTCCTTAATGGCAGTGACTCTTATTTCACTCACCTAACAGCATAACGTAACAAACTGCCTTTACCAACGTTCTTCATCTTTCGTCCTTACTGTAAGTTCTTCCCGAGCGGAACCATGGACGGGTCACGGAACCCTTCGACATTGTGACGGCGAGTGACGTCTCAGGGTCACGTGACTTCTGTTTTGTTTGCTTTGTTTGCCTGCCTCGCGTGGCTCGCTTATCTTTGTATGATCACACGTTCTCCCTGAGCTTCTTCCTTTCTTTCCTCATGCTAGAAATTTTCGTTAGATAGCACCAAATTTGACCATTTGAACGGCTTCCACAAATGCGTTGTCACTCATAGAGAACCCGACCTTCGCTCCAAACAACCGATGGATCGATAATCACTTGCTGTTTATTCAAGATTGCTACAAAGAAGGCTTACTAAAGATCACACACATAGTTAGGTGGTACAGAGAATCCTGCAGACGGACTAACAAAACCCCTTGATACTACTAGCCATCGGGAATTCTGCCGAATGATCCGCCTTACCAAGCAAGCTTAGCAACAAGATATATATCATAACTCACTACTTAGATAATCAAAATGATATCACGATGCCTCAGGGTCTCATGCCCAGGGGGGTGTGTGAATGATGGTAGTCACATGACCCAAGGCCACCTCTTCATCTCTCCTCTGGCGACACGTCTCTTCCTGTTGGCCACGTATCTCAGAGCCACTGATCCTGCCCGTAGCCGACATTATCTTCAACTGAAAGCGAGTATATTGCGCAAGCGGTGGCGACGCAGGAGTTAATCTGGCTCCAACTATTATTTACTGAGCTGGATATTCAACGCCTCAAAGCTATATCTGTTTTGATGAGTTGTCTTACTGTAATTCATGCAGACAACCAGTCCGCTATTGTTCTGACTAAGAACCCTGATTTCCATGCCCGCACGAATCACCCCTCAATTAAATGGCACTTCATACGTCGTGAAGTACGCACTAAAAATGTTGAATTCGTCTACATTAGTACGACCGAACAAGCGGCCGACGGCCTCACTAAGCCGCTCGAACGTCTCGCCTACTCCCGCTTTATCAAGCAACTCGGTATGGTGGATCGTGTTTGATATCTCATCTAATATTTCTGTATCTACATGTCTTTTACTCCCTGTCTAGGAAACGTGAACAACCTCACGTTTTCCTTTTTGTACGTAACGTTGCTGACTACGTCCTCGCTCATGGGGGGTGTGAAAGGAGATCACGTGATCTCGGACCTAGCCACCTAGTCATCTCCTCGCGTAGTTAGCTAGCTAGCCTACACACACAATATCATCCATATTGCTCTCACAGCTCCGGTAAGCACCAACTCAGGACGTTGAAGGCCTGCAGGAGTAACGCATCTTGTTGGCAGTTTTGTAAGGAAATGTGCTGTTTGTGGAGGGCAATAGTGAGCAGAAATAGTCGTCCTAAAAGAAGAGACGGTATTCAAACGGGGCAGAGGGATTGACTGACCGCCGCCTATGTCAGAAACCTTGACTTTAAGATACTCAACGCAAATGATGAAGGGCGCCAGAGGCTGCGTATCACAAAGATGCCGAGGTGCCCATTTATCTCATTTATCATCCAGCTTCTTCAACGAAGGCAAGAACAGAGATGAGCTTTTGAGCCTGGTCCGGTACGTGAAGAGTGGGAAGAGCTTAAAGTCCCATGAGGGCGTGCCTAGCATAATCCGTTGGCAGATCTACAGGGCTGAGAGGCGGCAGCTTGAAGGGTAAAAGAGTCGTAATCACCTTCTATCAGAGTCAGCCTACCCGCCGATTACCATCATAAATATGCTTCCCGCACAGGCCACGCAGCCGGGTGTGTCATCGTCGCCACCCACCCCGGAAGACGCGTCCATCTGTTCTACCAAGGCTTCGCGGCTTAAAATAGCTGGATTTCGTGACGCTAATGTCTAGGCCTAGGTCACAAGTTGCGAATGAGTCGTGGAATGAAGAATTTCGCCACCATTGCCGTGATCGCCAGAAGGTTGTAGATTTTTATGGCGACCTGACAGTGCCGGCGGATGACCGCATGCAGGATCACGGGGGTTATGGTAAGAAAGGCAGTAGCTGCCTAGCTTTGCTTAGTGGTATCGCTCTCGAGTTAGCAACGATACTCGAACTTCTGCCACGGTTGCATCAGTCTACATTCTTACGTCTTCTGATCTTCCTGACCTGCTGGCCTGAGACAGCAGTTCGCCTTGGCTTGATGGACAGGATAATCTCCAAGACCTGATCCTCCATGAGATACCTCAATCAGTTATTGAGCACGACATACGCCTTTTCTTAGAAGATAGGTTACCAGAAATGTATGAAGATGAAGAGTCTCTACCTGAGACCTGACCACAAGTTAATACCATCAAATAACTGCCGGGTATGCCTGTCATGAATGCTGCGACTATCTGCTGATTCTCTAGATATAGAAGAGAAACACCAGAAAAGCTCTAGAGAAAGTACTTAGAGTACTAGCATCTTTCGCAATTGAATTTAATCTTCGACACAATACTTGTGGACTCCTTTTTCGTGTTGTGATACGGGAGGATGTCAGGAAATAGCATATGGCATGCACTCCGACTAGATAGTAGTAGATAGACAGTTCTGCAGGTAGGTGGCTGATAGTCTAATACTTACGCATATACGAAACCCGATGACTTCCTTCGATCTACCTATCTGCTTTGTCGTCCATTACGTTCGTCTTCCTGCGCGAGGATTCCTAAGAGCCAGTCACGCTGAATTGTTTCTGCCTCTGGAAACCCCATATGAGTTCTCCCATCGATAAGCCTCACATCTTTTACGCTGCCATGTCGCAGAGGAAGGATGCTGTCCTCGATAGGGAAGATACTGTCCTCCATGCCATTGATCAGCAACAGCCGGGTGCAGCCCTTATCGAATATTCCACTCTCAAGAAGACTGAAACGCTCCCGTGCATTACCGGACGCGTATTCCTTTACATCCGTATACCCAAATTTGTAAGCCAGAGCCTCAGCCAACGCAAAAGGATACTCCATATGGTTTTGGGCTTGGATCCACTCCGGGTCAAACATGTGGTGGCTGCCTCCGCCCTGAGCGACCACGGCGAGCAGTCGGTCGGCGTGAGTATGCGCAATGCGCATGGCATAGTAGCCGCCCGTACTGATACCGCGCGCTAAAATTCGTGAAGGGTTGAAGTCATATTGGTCTTTGTGCTCTTCGACCCAATCGAGCACGCTGCTCCACAGGCGATCGGGCGACTCAGGATCGTTGGGTGCCGCAGGCGAATCGGCGGTACCGGGAATATCAACTAGAAGCACTGCCTGACCGTGATATAGGTGACTGGCAAGCTTACCGTAAGGTAAAGCCGCCGTGTGGTCCGTTCGATAGGCATCCAGGCCACAGATAAAAAGCAAAAGTGGCCAACCAGATTCCGGCTTTGTAGTATTATTGGGGAAGCGGAGGAAAGCAGCGATGATGGCGTCCTTGGATTCACCTGCTTCAAGGGAGGCGTGTCGATGCGGGATTTGGACTTCCACATTTGGTGGCGAGAGGTAAGGAGAAGCATTCAAATAAGCCTCCCTGCCAAGCCTCCACGCCTTTTTGCCCAGTGGCGAGCGGGGAATCGGAAAACGTGCGATGCGGTATACCGATCCGGCACGCAAGAACAAATCTCGCGCGTTTTCTAGGTCCCCGACCGTTTCATACTCCATGGCGCGTTGGACCAATTCGTCGGCAACTGGAAAGAACGGTTTGGCGTATCTATCTGGGTCATATAAGACAGATGGATCATCGCCACTCTCTTTGATCAACTGGGTAAAGATCTGGTCAAAATCCTCTCCTTTCCCATCTCCAAAGGGATAAAGACCAGAATGGGCGAGGTTCTTCCATTTTTCTTCCCATAGACTACTGACTGATCTATGAAAAGGGAAGGATTGCACCTTATCCACTGTTTTTTGAACATAGTACGGGTGATTTGGTTGCGCCATATTGAAAGATTGCTAGAAATATGATGAAACGGTGATTTTGGCAGATGACAGCTCGATGTTTTGGCTTCCAAAAGAAGGAAAGGTCCCGGTGATACTTTAAGCTCTCTAAACTGAAGAGCTTTTCAGCCATGGTTTGTCCCCTCTTAGTATTTATGTTCATTTTCCCCCACTTGGGCTCGCACTCTTGTCTAGTGCTATAAGATAGAGTCTGGCGTGTAAGATTTTACCTCATACAACATCTTTTGATTGCTATATGTAACGCTTACCAGCGGGGCGTCGTCATCATCGCTCCCTTTGGCTCATACACTCTCCTTAGCTGCTTATTCAATTGGCCGCCTAATCTGCGTGTCGCTATTTTGGGTAGTTTTACAGGGATAAAGTTGGGGCCAGAAGGCCAAAAGAATTAGTGGCAGCCAATGAAATGACGGTGAGTAAATGCTGAATATCGGACCGATAGAGATTACGCTGTCAACAAGCGTCCATGAAAGTCCAGTCCATCCTGCTCTAATATGTCAGGATTTGAATATTACTGAATGGTAGGCACTCAACCCAGTAATGCTCAGCCTCACAGCAAGTGGCGGTCCGTGCATTCCCTAATACTCTCACTTCCCCAGGTCTAGGCTAAAATCTTTTCTCTGCCATCGCTGAGCTTGATTTAGTCGATTCCGAGTATTCGCGATAAGATGGTGTTGACCTTGTAGTGACCACTCCGAGTCTGCTTCAATATTTACACTGAATGGACGATTAGTCAGCGTATCCTTGGTCACTTGTTAGCCCTCGCCCACAGCACACCAACCAGTGGTCTAAGCAACCGTAGTAGCATCAATCTTCCTGTTGCTATCACCCCAACTACCACGACCCACACTCTCCGGTACTACGGCCCGAGCAGCAGCAGTCTTATTAGCAACCTCCTGAGTGTTTGTAAAAGATTCGAGAGTGAAGTCTATTGGCTTTCACCTCCACTTTTTCTGGTGGAGCGGGTTACTCGCACGATCATATTGAGCGAGGTGTTGTTAAATTCCGCTGTATGCATTGTAGAATATGATTGCGTGTAATCAGTTATAGAGAGCGTTATACTGAGCATACCTTGAACCATATAGTTCTGACAGTAGAGACTATTGCTGAGTTACGCTTCATACACTGGTGGTTCTGCACTTCCCGGCCATTGCTCCAACCGCTCAAATTCGTCCATCGGCACATCATACCCCAGATGCCGCTTCAGTAGCTCATGTGTGACATAACGCTCCGGTGCATTACCCTGAGCATCCACAAGCGAGACATGTGGATTCACTTCGCTGATCCTTTGCAGCTCGTTGGCACGCCGGTGGTGGTGCGGGCACCCATCCACTCCAATCAGGAATATGGTCACATGGACCCAAGAGAGCCCCGGCAATTCGAGTTCGAACTCATTCTTGTCTGTGGCCTCACCGTCGAGTAGAAGAAGTAATCTCAGCAGTGGCGTTTGCGGGCCCGCTTGCTAGCCATAAACAGGGTGGTAGGTAGCGGATTCTGAATGTCTCTGGAAAAGCAGATCCTTGATTTTTTGCCATCCTGTCATAACACGTGTTCCTCCCCCTAACTTGATATTTCTCCACATATCGCAAAAGTTCGAGTGCTTCATAAAGCCGATATACTCGGCCTTGTTAGCAAGCGTAACGACCTGATAACCATGAGGATTTTGGTCATGAATGGACATTGCATCTGTGAAACGACGGACGATTGCTTCCGCGACATCTGTGATACCAGGTCAGAAACCCATGACTCGAGAATAGATGAACTTGCCTACCCTTGTTTTTAGGTTGGTTAAGAACGGGCGAACCCGGTAATGAAATATTGAGTGTAAAGTGGACGAAGAGGCTCAAAGTCCATTGATCCAGAAACGTCCAGTAAGATCATCGTATTATCTGTAGTTGTCTTCGGAAGATCGAATGGTATGAAAGGGGGCGGCATCACCTGCAAGGAGTAGCTTCCTTGCAAATGCTGAAGGCGAAAGGTATCAGCCATGGAGTAGTACGCCGGGGGCGGTTCAACGGCAGTCGCCATTCTTGCACGAGCCATTTCCACGGCGGAAATAATGTCACGCTTCATGCGAGCTCCCGTGCGCCCCTCCCTATGGCTCAGTACCCAATATAGAGGCTCCTCGGCTGTATTCTCATACCCTCTCCAGGCTGGAGTAATGCCCCTTCACCCAGAAGGTGCATCTATGCGGAATTTCAAGGGATTTGAAGCACGAGTTGCCCAATCTATGGGAATGGGCTCAAGGTATCCTGCTCGGAGCAGGTGCAGGTACTGATTAGGGCGTTTAGCTCGTAGCTCAGCGATTCCCCACTTCATACCAACCCTTTCTTGGTAGACGGCTACGGTTCGTCGCCACTCTAAGTCTGGCCAGCGACCATTTTCCTCCTCCAGAATCGCCCGTCGGAGTTCTCGCGCGCGAGTAAACATCTCAAGTAAACATTTCATCACCTCTGGAGGCTGATGTATGGAATGACGAGATAGACAGAGCCCTCCTAAAATTCGATAACATGGACGATTTCAATGTTCCTATGCTGCTTGCTGCAGGAGCAGCTCTGTCTTCCGCAGGACGTAAGGGAGGGGAGGCAATGTTGGATTCATCCAATGCCCAAATATTGCATTGCCTCGGCTACAAGCAAAATGAGTGGCTCGAGATACGTGACCAACAGGAAGAGACGTGTCGACAGAGGAGAGATGAAGAGGTGGCCTTGGGTCATGTAACCACCACCAATCACACACCCACCTGGGCACGAGACCCTGAGGCATCGTGATATTCATTTTGACTATCTATGTAGTGAGCTATGATACATATCTTGTCTCTAAGCTTGCTTGATAAGGCGGATCATCCGGCAGAATTCCCGATGGCTAGTAGCATCAAGGGGTTTTGTTAGTCCATCTGCGGGATTCTCTGTACCACCTATGTGTGTGAGCTTCAGTAAGCCTTCTTTGTAGCAATCTCTAACAAACAGTAAGCGATTATCAATCCATCGATTATCTGAGCGAGGGTCGGGTTTTCTATCGAACAGCATTTCCTGCCCCGACAGTCTGGCCTAAGCATCGAACTGAGAAGATCCCTCCAGACTGACATGATAGAACTATGTGCCAAAGTCCTTGAATTTCAGTCTCAGGCCGTTTGCTATCTGGGTAAACCAACAGCAAGACAGCTTCTGAAAGACTTGTTAAAGCACAACGGGTGGGACGGAATACTTGGTCATATCAAACAATATAACACTCGCATTAAGGACACCATTTCCTCGGCGCGTGTCTTAGAGGTCGATAGCCAACTGAACACTCTCCAGGACAAGCTACAACAGATACAGGTATAGCAAACTGTGTCTGAGAAGAATGAAAAGCAAGTCAATCTCTTCCAGTAATTATATACCTGCCCATACAAGGATCACAAAGATATAAATAGCAAGCGTGTGCCAGAAACATGTAAATGGTTCACAAATCATCCTCAGTTCATCAGGTGGAATGAAAGTGTGAACTCTGAACTTCTCTGGGTATCTGCAGAGCCAGGCTGCGGGAAGTCAGTCCTCACAAGATACTTGGCTAACGAATATTTGCCTAGCAGACAAGAACCGTCTATTACTTCTTCTTCAAAGACGGTTATCAAGATCAAACACGAGCCACAAATGCACTTGCTTCCATTCTCTACCAACTCTTACTCACCCAACCACATCTTATGCAAGATTCGCTCTTAGATAGTCAGAGACCAGCGGGAAGCAGCTCATCAAATCCTTCAATGAACTGTGGAATATGTTTCTCTACGTGACTGCAGATGTCAACACCGGCGAAGTAATCATCCTGCTTGATACTATAAACAAGTACTTTGAAGATGACCAGACGACTCTGATTCAAGTGATAAAGCGCCTATTCCTTAACAATCCTGGCAAGCACAATCTAAAATTTCTAATGACAAGCCGCCCATATGACTACATCTGGCTCAATTTCTTCAAGCTGGAGATTTTTCCTACCCACAATCCACTTGAGCGGCGAGGATGAGGAGAACATCAAGAAAATCTCTAGCAAGATTAACTTGGTCATTATAGAAATGGTTCGAGACTTAGATAATAAGTTTGACCTGACGGTATATATACGCGATTCCATTATCGAGCAGCTCACCTCGGTTTATAACCAGACATATTTATGGCCTAGCCTTACCTTCAATGTCCTCGAAAGAATACCAGGACTTACCGAAGGATTTGGACCGCCTGGTCCATGGTATTCCCAAAGATACCGATGCTGCTTACACCAAAATGTTAGATCAAAGTCCAGATCATAGCGCGGCCAGAAAGTTACTCCATATCGTAACTGCGGCGGAGCGTCCATTATATTAGAAGAAATAACCTTGTCTTTGGCTGTCAAGACAGCAGATCAATCAATCGACGACATCTAAAAGGAACTACCGGCCAATGAAGACACCGAGACGACCATGACGAGATAAAAGACCAGGATCAGAGAACTGCACGGCCTGTTCTTGGTTATACTGGATCAGAAGGTATATCTTTTCCATCAGACCGCAAGGGAGTTCTTAGTTAAGAAATCGGCCGGTGGTGATACTCGAGCAGGTAGGTGGAAGCACAGCCTGTCTCCAGAAAAATCGCACTATGTCCTGGCGGAGATATGCACACTGTAATTGAGCCGAGTAATTGGTACCCTCCCTGGGTTCATGGACTATGCAGCACAATTCTGGGCGGTTCACTTTCAGAGAGCTGCTGTCTCAAGAGAAGATCCAATCACAAAACGTGGACGCATGCTTTGTCGACAAGGGTCAGTAGTATGTAAGGAGTGGGCTGCAATTTACAAACACACCAGATACGAGTTTCCCGATTCCAATGACACACTTATGGCGTTCTATCTAGGTCTTACAGCTATTGACGAGACACTTCTTGAGACTGGAGACATGGATGTGGAATCTAAGGACTCTGACAAGGGTCTAACTCCTCTCTCCTGGGCCGCATGGAACGGACATGAGGGAATTGTTAAGTTGCTTCATTGAGCTAATCTGGACAATCGAGACTGCGTCAGTGAAAGGTCCAGTTAGTGCGTCGCCCGTCTGACATATCTGCTGTGGATATGAAAAGCTTATCAGATAACCAGGAGCGCGCGATATACACACAGGAAAGCAAAATAGATAATCCGGGGACTCAAGGGTCTCTTCAACTAAACATATCTTGATAATACTGCAAGACTTGTTGATGTGGCTCTGAAGAGAAGAGAAGCACGCCGAGAACCGGATACCCGATTGTTTATTATGTCCAGCCTCCGGGTTACTCACGCTCCAATCTGACCAAACCTGTCTGTCTATTGACAATGGAATCCATGGACATCTCTCTCTCATCTTGATAGAGTGCGAGAGCTGTGACAGCAATATGATGATATTGTGTGTGTGTGTGTGTAGGCAGGCTAGCTAACTACGCGAGGAGGTGACTAGATGGCTAGGTCCGAGATCACGTGATCTCCTTTCACAACTGTCTTCGGTGCTCTCTCTTTCGGAAGAGTTGCTGTCATCGGATAACGGGTTGACTGTCTTTCATTTGTCGGCGAGCTATTATACAATACAATGTAGTCAATGACAATATATGTTTCGAGATAGTCCTCCTGCTTCAGGTCTTTGTGGCACTGATTACTCGGCAGCGGATCGGAAAGACCAGTAGAGAAATCGAAGACTCGGGTGTAGGTAGCAACGGAGGGACAAAAGTGTGCCCAAGCGAGGGGCCACCGCTTATAATGACACCGTTAAGAGGGCGCCATTTTTGGCGTATTTCGGAGACCGCAGCGAGGCGTATAGGAAGTCAGTATAGGCCGGTCTCAAAAAAAAGAGTGCCTGGAGGTATACTGCACTGCGGACAAATGACGATCGGTGCTTGGCGGTGCGTGGACATAAGTGCACGGGGGAGTGGCGGAAGGCGTGGCAGATTGACGGCCAAAAAAGGCGTCGACTGCGGCCGTTTTGGGCAGCCTATCTACCGTCTTCTAGTTTAAACTAGTATATGTTCAGGCACACAATTTACACCGGGAGTAAGCAAAACGAAGCAAAATTATGCAGCAAAAGATCTGTATTGACTATCTAGAGCGTCAGCTACGTGATCAAGCCTACAGTGGCTGCCTCAACAATCTATAACTATTGCCTACAGTGGTATGACAAAAGTTTGCGTTATCCCTTGTTCCACGCTAGCCGTTCCGCTTTCCTAATTAGGCTATCTAGAACTCTATCTAGATCTTAATAAGCTGTATACCAACCATCCGCTTGGATGACTGCCTGTACGCGATGAGGCATGGTTTGATATAAATTTTGAAGTACTCTTTCGTTAATTGCATGCCAGGCTTCAATTGCTGCTTGTATAAGACTCTGATGAGTATCCTCAGTATTAAGAGTATGTTCTAACTCTGGATGCAGTTTATATATCTTAGCTTTCATTAAGGCCCATAGATTTTTAATAGGATTCAAATCGGGTGAGTATGGTGGCTAAATCATGACTTCTACCCCTATATCTTGAAGCAATTCGCGTATAATATAGGCTTGGTGTATGGATGCTCTGTTATGCATGAAGATATCTCCAGTCTGTAAGATTTCAGGTAGAAATGCTTTATAAACACCACGGATAACCCATGCAGTAATGCCTTGACGCGTAGATGTTGGATCTCCCTGTAAAGGTAGAAGATCTGTATGTCTGTTATATCCAAAAGCAGCCTAAAATATCTGCTTAACACCCTTTCCACAACGTACAGTATGAATATCACGCTCAATAATCTGTTGCTTTGGTGATCGAAAGGTATAGATTTGTTGAATTCCAGTATCATGCTCAACTGAATATTCGTCTGACCATATAACACGTAGAAAGTCTTCAGCAGTGTATTCTGCATATTGTTGAGCCCATCTTAATCTCTTCTCTGTGTTTTGAGGAGTGATTTCTGGCCGCTCACATTGTTTCCATTTCTGCATGTGTAGAGTACGGAATAGATGTTGAACTGTTTCTAATTGAAGGACTGCTTTGTATAGCAGTAGAGAGTTCATGTATTTTTATATGCTGATCTTGCTTAACTGAGTCTAATATTTGCTGTTGTTCTTCAGGAGTAATCTTTTTGGGTTGTCCGGAGCGAGATGCAGAGTGTTGCTGCTTTCGAGTATTCTCACGCTTGATTGTAGTTTGTATAGTAGAATAAGGAATATGCGGATAGTGTTTATGAATTATAGTAAAGGTCCATCCAATTGCTTTCAACTCACAGAGTCTAGCACGGATCTCCGGGGTTAGTTCTTTGCGTGGTGGCATCTTTGTATGGCTTGCTTGCTTGCTTCAAGATTCAGGGCTCTGTACGTGTTGTTTTGGTAGGCAGAATAGCTGTATTCTAACCTAGTTAGGAAGGCGGAAGTAAAAGCAACTAGCGTAGAATGTGGGGCAACGCAAACTTTTGTCATACCACTGTAACTATTCTGCCGGCAGTAAATCCTGAAAACATTATTGCCCTATGGCCCCTACCGAGTACTAGGTTCCTTAAATCGCCAGCAGAGCCACAAATAACTACTATTTAGCAGATTTATTCAATAGTACAGTACTACACTACTATTGTCACATATTTTTATCACACCCAACATCCAACTCTCAATTTACAACTCATCCCCCTTCCCAACCCCCACACCAAACGTCCCCTTTGACTCCATCGCACTCTTGATTTCCCCACGGTCTTTACGTCCCCAGCAATACCTTATACTCAAAACTCTTCCCTGGCGCGGACATCCTCCAGCCCTGTAACTCGTACGGAAATTCGCTTGGGCCCATGCAATGTGCTCGTGATAGAGCCGTTCGGATTTGGCTGGCGAGCGGCCTTCTGGATCACGTGATGTTGTTTTTCTTGCCTTGTTTGTTTCGCCTCGCGCGCTCGCGCTCGCTTATCTGTGGTGTTCTCCCACCGTTCTCTTACCCTCCTGTCTTTCTCTCCACGTGTTAGATATTTTAGTCAAGTAGCGCCAAATGCAACAAATTCGACCGGCTATCACACACTGCTTGGCCCACCTTGGCCCTCT